TTGCTGATAAGCAAACACTTCTTTCTGTATATAATGCTATTGTTCGCCCATATTTTGATTACTGCTGTGAAGTATGGGATGTGTTTGGAGAAACGCAATCAAAAAGACTCCAAAAACTACAAAACAGAGCTGCTCGGATTATTTTGAATATGAGCAATGACATAGATCACTCTGTTGCATTGCAAGCATTGGGTTGGAAGCCACTTAAAACAGAAAGGAAGAAAAGTAAAGCAAAAATCATGTACAAATTATTGAATAAAATGGGACCCAAATCACTCAGTAATCTCTTCACATATAAGGGTGAGGTGACAAACTACAAACTTCGGAACATTTCAAGTAGTCTTTGTTTACCACAACCACGTACTAATAATATGAAAAAAGTTTCGTGTATGACGGAGCACACCTTTGGAATTCTATTCCTAAAGAAATAAGAGAGAGCAAATCCTTTTCTTCCTTTCGAAAGAAAATCACTACTCACATTGATTGATAGCTAATTAACATAGATGTTAATATTACCTGTATATAGATCACTACCTTAGTTTGTTGTAAAATTAGTTCATATAATACTATATATCTTATATAATTTTGTAAATAGTTTTAAAATTCTTTTCTGTATACTTTTCGCACGCCCCTCGTGGAAATCAGCTTCGGTTGACGGGGTCAGCGTGTTTAAATAAAGTCTATCTATCTATCTATCTTGGTTATGTGTATATACATTGGACCCTGCATGATCATGTAAAAAGTGATCATGTCTATAGTAACATGGTCATGATCATAAAGCGATCATGTATATATATATATATCAACTGTAGGTCCCTGAGCCAACTGAGCTACAAGCACCAGTTCACTTCTCAAGCTCTAATCACATCTTAGTTGACATGTACATGTATATAATTATACCGTACCAGGGTATTGCCATGTATTGGTTATCAGTAAACACTGTGTCAAGATTTTGTTGGCAAAGTGCTGCACCAGAATTGCAGGGCTGCAAGGGACCTTTACAGTAGTTGCATTTTTCGCAGCTGTTCCTGGTTAGGTCTAATAAAAGTATCTACAAGACTCTTCAACAAAATATTCATACTTACTCATGTACAAAGTGATCATGTATAGTCTGTGAAATCGTCATGTATAAAGTGGTCAGACATGTATAGTAAACATGGTCATACGTTATGTATAAAGTGATTAGGATTGTATAGTGACATGGTCATCATGTATAAATTATAATCATCATGCATATAGTGACATGATTATGTGTAAAGTGAATGATCATGTATAGTGAGATGGTCATGTATCAGTAAAGTGATCATGCATGTACTCATATGTAGTTACATGATCATGTATAAAATAATGATATGGTCATGTATAAAATCTTCAAGTATGCTGTATATGTCATGTAACACTCTTTCATTATTTTACTTCGTCCAACAGTATAGCAAAGTTACTTGGCATAGTCATGTGCACTGAAGGTTTATAATACAGATAATAAGCCTTACAACATATTTTTACAAAGGAAATCACGGAAATGATTATTCTACTTCCTTACCAAGTTGCATGTCATTAATACATAACTCGTTGAAATATGGCTTCGGTAGTAAACAGTAGTCAGTACTAAATAATATTACCCCATGCTTTAAATCGCAAAATCAGAAATATTGGTAGGTCGTTTGCAATTTGCCTTGATTGCTGGTTGCAGAACACGGTCTGTTGAAATATATCGTGTAGTGATTTTTTCTGTGTTGGTGTAATATACTCAGGTGAATATGATGCTTGTGATGTTACTCTGAGTGTATATCCACACCGGGCAAGCTTGAAAAATATGCCTGACCACGGTGGGAATCGAACCTTTGGAATACTACGACCTTTGGAATACTAGCCCAACGCTCTGCCAACTGAGCTACGCGGCTGGTCGGTTCGAGTATGTGATATTTCGGAACAGAATGTAGTTCCTTCGATATGAATGTAACCTAATAATCATGATTTTTTCTGCGTTGGTGTAAAGTACCAGGTGAATAATTATGATGCTTGTGATGTTACTCTGAGTGTATATCCACAACAGGCAAGCTTGAAAAATGTTAGGATATACTAGTATATATACATTTGAACATATAAGGATAAATTAGGAACATTGTTGACATTCATTGATGAAGAATGACACGTGACCTTAACACGTGAGAACGTTATCGTTCTTCGTTGCATGTTTTGTGAAAGGCATATTTGTAAACATGAAGCCATTCTAAAGCGTCTTCTCTCAATAAAACTATAAAAGTTAACAGGTTATGGGTCCAGGATATTCCACAATGGACAGTCACACTATGGAGTGGCTATGTTTCACTGGTTTAGCTGAGGATTATCCAGCATGGAGTACGAAATTTATGGCGTATACGCAAACAAAAGATTTGTACAAGTCACTTCTCGATAAGGAAGTTTTAATGCCAGAAGTCACTCCGTTAACCGAAGCAGCCACAGCCGATGAAGTCAGCGAACTTAAAATGAACAAAAGTATCAGTACTTTAACAAATAACGACGCGAGTGTTGCCAACAATGATTTGGTCAACCTGTTATCGAATGAAAACCAAGACCTAAAGAATGAAATCAAGTTACTTCGAGAGAAAAACATCAATATCACACATTCCGTGGCAGACCTAAACTCCAAGATTGAAGAATTAGAAAGCGAGAAACAAAGCCTCAAAACTGCGCTGAAGATCTTATACGCCGACCTGGAAACTGCGGAAGGAAATATGCAATCACTAACTGACAAACATGAAGCCCAACAGCATCCATGGATTACAGTATCTGGCAAGTCGAAAGGTCACCCAATAAACCTTGAGTTAAACAACAACAACAAATACTCGGTCCTGCACGTCGAGGATGACACAGAAATTGTCATTGATAGTGACGAAACTAAAGCGTCAGTAAATTCTGCTGGGAGTAGAAATAAATACTTTCCACATCACACACCAAAAACAAAGACGACCAGAAAACTACAAGACCCGAAACCAAGCAGTACAACATCAGCTCAACAGCGAAAGATTGCTATCCTGGGAGATTCAATGATTAAAGGTATAAACTCAAGAAAACTTCAACATGGCCTTAAACAAAAAGTCATTGTAAAAACATTCCCGGGTGCGCATGTAGAAGATATGACTCATTACGTGAAGCCAACTCTAGCCTCGAATCCAGCTGAAGTCATTGTACATATCGGTACAAATGACTTAAAATACAAGTCACCTAGTACCCTACTTAAAACGGTAGACAATCTTGGAGAAATGATTACGGAGAGTAAAGATGTTAAACTGACATTATCAGAGATTATAACCAGATGTGACGATGAAACTCTAGCGGACAAGGTAAATATTTATAATGAACTTCTAGCTAACCTTTGAACTGAGCGAAATTGGGGGTTAATTAAGAACTCTAATATAAAGAAAGAACATTTTTAAATAACTATGGACTCCACTTAAACCCAAGAGGTTCGACGGTCCTAGCTAAGAACTTCAAACTGTATGTAAGTAATCAAAATTGACTAAATGTTAATACACAAAACCTAATGATGCAAGAACCTATTAGAAACTCCGGTGCAGTATCAACGGATAACCAAAGCAAACTATATCCAAAACTTAAGGGCTTTTCAATTGCGCAGTTAAATATTACCAGTCTGACTAAACATATTGACGAACTCAGGATTCTCATAACAGAAATGAACTTTGACATACTATGTATTAATGAAACAAGAATTGACAAAACAATTAAGAACTCAGAAATAGGACTTCAGGGATACGACTTAACAAGACGTGACAGAAATAGACGCGGTGGGGGTGTAGCAATATATATACGTAATACCATACCATACGTGGAGAGGTCAACAATAATCCCTGAAAATGTAGAGGCAGTATGTATCGAAGTAAGAAAGCCGAATGCCAAACCAATACTCATTTCGACGTGGTATTGACCACCAAACTCCAATTCTGAGATTCTCGACTCTTTTGAAATCTTTCTTCAAAACATTGACACAGAAAATAAAGAAATTATAATAACTGGAGACTTTAATATAGATTTAATGCCCAGTGAGACCGAGAATAGTAAGGCAAAAAGGCTTAAAGAATTACTAAACATATATCAATTGTCTCAACTTATTAAAAAGCCTACTAGAACAACAGAATCAACGAAGACGCTCTTAGATTTAATAATTTGTAAAACTGACGACCCAAAAACCGCTACAACGGACGTTGTTGAGCTAGGTATAAGCGACCACAACCTAGTCTACACTTGTAGAAAGGTCGGAATATGTAAACAAAAACCCAAAATTATTGAAACAAGGCAATACCATAAACTAAATAACGCAAAATTCCAAAACGATTTAAAACAAGCTTTACTACATATTAATGAACATTCAGATCCAAATACGGCCCTACAGGAATGGAACAGAATTTTTCTACTGATAGCTGATATAAATGCTCCTATACGATTGAGAAAAGTGAGAAGTGACCGACAACCGTGGATGACTGATGAAATTAAAAAACTGAGCTTTCACAGAGACTACTTAAAAAAGAAAGCAGTCATGTTAAATTCCTCTGCCTTTCATAGTTCATACAAAAAATGTAAAAACAAAGTAACTAAACTTATTAGCAATGCAAAAGTCACTACTTTAGAACCAATCTCGAAAACAGCAAAAATTGCAAAGAAAACTGGATTCACATAAACAAACTGCTAAACCACAAAACGGTCAAAACTCAGACGATCAATAACATTAAATTTGGAGACCAAAATATTACAGGTGATATCAACATAGCAAATACAATTAATAACTACTTTGTAGAAATTGGACCCAAACTTGCTTCCGTTATTTCTCCTACAGACATAGACCCTATACAACCTTATTCAGCCTTGTAGATCTGAATTTAACTTAAGAACAATAACAACGACAGAATTAATTCAAACAATTGGGAAAACTAACTTAAACAAGGCCCCAGGTCTAGACAAAATACCAATTAAACTAATTAAACTAGCAGGAGATGCCATTCACGACTCCTTACTACATATCTTTAACCTTGTACTGGGCACTGGCATTTTCCCAGATGATTTAAAACTTGCTAAAATAATACCTATTCATAAAGAAGGTGACAAGGCGGAATGCGAAAACTACCGGCCTATATCTGTAATTCCTA